TTTCCTTTTCTAGCATTAAATCCTTGGGAATCCATTTTTCGCCTTTTATAGTCGGGTGCGACCACCTTCCGTGGCGAAGTGGCTCACATGCTTGTGAGATGGTGTCGCCATCTCAGAGGTCTTTGGTCCTCTGCCCGGCCGGATCAATTCGTTGGAACTCCAATTTTCTATATTATTTCGAGTCTAATACTCGTCCAGAGTCAATCCAGTTTCTTGTTTATCCATTATAAGTATTTGATCAATTTTGCATTCATGATGCTATCCTGGAAAATATTTTAATGTAAAAAGGCTTAAAAAATCTGGGGTTGTTGGATTTTTCAAACTTTTTTATTAAGAATATTGTCTTGTTTGTTCATTAAAAATATTTAAGATAATACTTTAACTCTAAATAACACTTTAAAAATTTAACGCCCGGGTTGTGATAAGAACGGAAACAATAAATAACGAATCAAGCTTTATAGTACCTACCTCAATAACAGCTTGTTACTGCAATATATTATAACATATTATCACACTTAGTAAGTCACAAATACTTCCCTCAGATAATATCAGTTGATTAGTATTCATAAGGGCTTGTATCGGCAGTATAAAGAGCACGAACTGTGACGTAAATGATAATTGAAGTGACACTAGGATTAATTACGATGGGCACTTTGTTGCAAACGATTGTATCGGGAACCAATGAGTGTCGAGTCATTGAGTGAATATGATCACTGATCAATCGTAATTTGTTTAACCATCTCTACATAATACAATGTCACTTACCGCTGTCTGTACGCTGGTATCTTATAAAATACACAACGGATTTTTAAGAGGTTTTCAACAATATACAGAATGAGGTTTTATTATGTAAAAGCTGGTAAAAGTCTAGTATACTATAAATTTACAATAACATTTTAAACAGGAATGCTTTGATTGGGTGTTTGCATTAAATATGCTCCGAAACAACTGCATTGATTTCAAAAATTCTTTCTTCTACGGAAAGATATATCATACGATAACATAGGCTATAATTAACGCGGGTAAAGTTGCAATAAATTAGCTAGTATTATATAATTCTAAATATAATTTTTCAATGCATTGCCCAACCAGGGCAGAAACTCGATATTATATTTACCGAGTGCGTACATTATAATCTTTATTATTATGAATTCAGAGGCTTCCTAAGACTGGAGGCTCGGGGTGGACTGCACCCACTCCACCCACTCCTTAGTCTGCCAGTGTTTCAATGATATGTAATATGAGAGGAAGAGTTTGATGATACAGTGATTAGCATGTCCGGTCTGTAATTACGCAGGATAAAAATCTTTAGTTAAGGTCGGTCATGGGATGGGATACCAAATATAGATTAGTTCTCCTATGCTTAAGAAGGCACATTTAGCACGCGTTAATACCCACTAAGCCATACTAGGTCGGCGTAATAAGTTATTTTTTATGTGTAGAATACGTAAGTACTTATGTTAATAAAGAATAATTCTATAATATTAATTCAAAGTAAAGATATAGCTCGATGGCTGGATGAGTGGAGCGCTATGGCGTCGTGGTTAGTGCGCTCGGTCTGTAAAGCAACTTTTGCAATGGCTGGTTATAGGATGAGTGACCATAAACTTATTATCTCGAGCTCCTCCTTGCTTCGGAAGGCTCGTTAAGCTGTTGGTCCCGGCTGCAAATGCAGTCGTTAATATCCACCAATCCACACGACCAATCCAATCATGACCCATTCTCAAGTATATTATATATATATTCAATTCAATTCATATATATTCAATTTGGTTCAGTTCCATCCATAGGGACGGCTTAAGCCCCAGCAGTGAGGACAGTAATAGGATGGTGATGATGGTAATAGAGCTGAAAATAATCTTATATAATTATTGTTTCATACAGAGATTCTCAAAATGTTATAGATTTTTCGAAATAAAAAAATGTGTTTCTACGGTGTGCTAGAGAAAAGATCTTCTATCAGCTCTATCGACCCATTAACTTAGGACTGTGCTTGTGACAGACATTTATAACCTAAGAATTTTCTTTCTAACCTACGAATCTTCGGTTTCTTTCTATTAAAACATTTTTTTGATCCAGTTAGTGGCTTAGACACATGACTTTTCTTTTAGCAAACCAACTTTGACAGACGCACAGATTGACAGACAATCTTGAAAATGGCACAAAATAACTGCCAGCAAAATTTTGCAAGAAAGATTAATTGTGTTTACCAATTCCAAACTCACAATTCTAAACATCAATCCCAAATGTTTTGAATTAATCATACTCATCATCGCCCTATAAAACAAAACCACTTTACAAATCCACAATTTATGCGTGCCACGACAGATTGTTGGTTTACCAGTCGCTTGATATGTTTTGTTGTTTGCAGCTTGGCCTCCGCACAACTGCAGGATACTCTGACGCACACACAATTGACGAGCGCTGAAGTTGGACGATCGGTATGTATTTTATTTTAATCAAAGTTAAATAATATAAACTTTAACCCATATTGACATTTTGAAGTCCCTTTTTCAATGGTCCTATAGCGGAAATTAGCAGACTTATGCCAGTTTTCACTAAGCTTAGGAATCGCCCAAATCTGTCGTCTAAATATTTAGGAATCTCCTAAGATAAAATGCATTTCACCATTGACTAGGAACCACCTCAAGAAATTGAGCAATGTCCAAATTATGGATAAAAGAAAATAAAAGTTTATTTGGAATTAAACTAATCTGCTTAGGTGATTCGTAAGATTAGGCGTTTTCTTGTTAAGCTAAGCCTTGTACTGGGTGAGTGAAAACGGAGGTAACAAAAGCAAAATCAATTCCAGTTACACAATCTTACGCAAAAGCGGCCATTACTATATCCACTGCTGGAGCACAGCCCTTCCCAATAGATGGAATCGAATCAAATAGGGAGAAATGGTCATTGTCCACCGCAAAGCGAAGGTCTAAAATTCTGATTCTGAGTCTGAGTGTCAATTTTTGACCTCTATTTGATACTATTATTATACTGTTCTGTATTTAATTATCTGTTGGTTAAAAATATATATAAGGTGTAAGGGGGTCCGAACAACATCTAACGGATCCCAAGCCAACCTCACCTGCACGCGGTACACCCTGCCGACTAACCAACGAGGCTCTGGCGCTCCCCACCAACCCGCATTGGGCCAGCGTGGTGGGAGACGGCCCAAAACCCCTCAGAGATAAAAATTAGACGTGGCCGCTTACGATGGGCCTCATAAGGAAGCTCAAGGTCGCTCAGAGGGCAATGGAAAGGGCTATGCTCGGGGTTTCTTTGCGAGATCGAATTAGAAATGATGAGATCCGCAGAAGAACTAAAGTCACCGACATAGCCCACAGAATTGCAAACCTCAAGTGGCAGTGGGCAGGGCACATCGCTCGCAGGACTGACGGCCGTTGGGGCGGTAAGGTCCTGGAGTGGCGTCCGCGTACCGGGAGACGCAGTGTTGGCAGGCCCCCCACAAGGTGGACCGACGATCTGGTGAAGGTCGCGGGAAGCCGCTGGATGCGGGAAGCGCAGGACCGATCGTTTTGGAGATCTTTGGGGGAGGCCTATGCCCAGCAGTGGGCGTCTCTCGGCTGAAATGATGGTTAAAAATAAGACAACAATTTCATAAAACGTAATTTAAATGCCTTATCAAAATCAAATTTTATTACAGTTTTTAATTTATAACGTATATTAAATAAATTAACATGACAGTTGATAAAACTTCCATTTGGACGGTTTAATTACATGTATTCTCAAATATAAAATTTTCAAAGGTTTTGGATCCCTCGTTTAGTACACGAAACCTGTAAAGGATCCAAAACCTGTAAAGGACATCTGAAAAACGTATATTATTTTTGTATTGCACTCGCTAAAATATTTCCTTTGCTATCTTCTTTTGCTCGAATTGACTGAGAACTGAAACTAAGTGATTTCAATATATATTTTATTTATACTATAAACTATAGTGTTTGTGTTTTACTAAAGTATAAGAATTAAATGACATATTCATTCGTATCGATGACTATAAACTTAAACGAGAACCTCTTTTTTTGAGGAAGAAACATCTTTTTTATGTATTCTATAGGAATAACTAATAAAAATAGAAAAAATCCTATTAATATTATAAATGTGAAAGTTTCTTTGTTTGGATGTTTGTACGTCAGTCACGCCGAAACTACTGAACGGATTTTGATGAAATTTGGTATACAGATAGGGTGTTAGCTGACTTAGATATTTTTATCCCACTAAACATTTCCACGGTCCAGGGTCCACGTGGGCGAAGCCGCTGGCGAAAGCTAGTAACTAATAAAAATAGAAAAAAATACAAATAAGGTTTGGTTCTTTATTTCGTTGAAATTATTTTCAAATTGAGAACACAAATTTATTGCGACTCATTCACATGCAACGAAACACCTATCAAAACTCCATGCCCTGAAGACACTTCCGAAATCTAATCTCCCGTGTGTACCAAATAAACCCAGTTACGTATAAGTTGTACATGTATAACATACCAACGAGACTTCCGCGTATCAAATTAAGAAAACAAACATGATGTATGTAATTTAAATACAATTGGTTTTCGATAGTCGATTAAAAAAAATCGGTCAAGTGCGAGTTGGACTCGCGCACGAAGGGTTTCGTACCATACCGTCGATAGTAGGTATAAAAAAGTCGCTTCCCACTGTCTGTACGATGACATCTTTTAGACTACACAACGGACTTTAATGCGGTTTTCACCAATTTACAGAATGATTCATATAAACATTTATATGTGAAAAGCTAAAAAAACACATTTGTTTTATTTAAACCTGGCTATCACAGTTCGTGATATGCTGCCTGATGACAGACGGACAGCGGAGTTTTAGTAATAGGTCTTAGTCCCGTTTTTACCCTTTGGTTTCGGAACCCTAAAAATCAGTCGAATTAAAACGTTCTACATTAATAGTGCTTGAATAAGAGGAGCTCGATGGCACAGTAATCGGCCCTGTGATTCTGTGAATATCCGAATGCGAATTCTCTCAGATGTCCGAATTTCACTTCAAAAGCGACAACCGCTAAACCTTGAATTGGTAATCGCGTTTCGCGGCAAAATGAATTTTTGAAATAACATAGGAATAAAATATTTGAGACACGTATGAATCAATCAATCTTGTTTTGTATTTAAAAAAAAAAGAAATCAAATTCTATACTGAATGACATTAAATCGGACACATGAGTGAATTCGAATTCGGGTTCGGATTTTCGAATTCGATGTCGAGTAAATAATTCTAATGAAATAAAACCTTTTACCTTTTGAGTAGGTTATTATATTGGATAATGTATAATCGTTTTTGGCCTTTAATGGATAACGTGACGAATTGCCAACTGTAAAATGATGTTACAAATTTATTATTTCTTCAATATTTTCAAATTCCCAACTCCAGTCAATGGTACAAAAATATTTTAGGCAAGTAATTTAATATCATATGAAAATTAATTTTGCCTCTTTGGTGTTAGTTCTTTTGCTAGTTAGTATTATTTTAACGCATGATAGTCTCAATAACAGTAGTTTTTAGTCAATAAAAGGCGACTTATATTTTTATCTAAACTTTGCATTATACTCATCATATTCTAAGAAATTAGTGTTGTGGAGTATTTTATGAAATCTGGAAAATATAACAGTATTATTTTGTGTACATTTATATAAAGGTTTCGCTTAGAATAGCCAAGCCTGAGTGCCTACCAAAACATAAGAGAGTTCGACATTTTTGGGCACCCCTCCAATGACTGATTTTTTCGAGAATTCCTTAATTTCCATAATCACAGTCAACCGCTATGCCATCGATATGCTCCATTCTATTGTAGGATGGACTACGAAAATCGTTCACTGGTCTGGGCAAATACTGAAAACTTGCTTTGCGCGATCAAAGGATCCTTTTACCTTTTTCATCACATGACACACATTATTTATTTTTATAATTTTATATATAAGTGCCTACTTTATGATGCAAAATAACCATTAGGTACCTATCTGTCTATCAATCGCTGGTTTCAGAAGTCACGAACGACGGTTGCAGAAAGCCAAGGCAATGCGACGATCTACGCATGGAGTTCTTGGGGTTCTTGGAGTACCTGCTCTAGAAGTTGTGGTGGAGGAGTAGCTGTACAAGAACGACAGTGCCTGCCTAGAGATCCAGCCAGGTCCGTTACAAAACCTTTATATTTATATAACTTTTATCTGAAAAGGAAAAAAACACCCAAGTGCGAGTCGAACTCGCATACGTAGGTTTCCGTACCGAAACGAGAAAAAAAAGTCACGTTTGCTGTATTGGAGCCTCCTTAAATATTTATTTTATTCTGGTTTTTTAGTACTTTTTGTGGAAGTGGCAACAAAAATACATCATCTGTGAAAATTTCAACTATCTAACTTTCACGAATCGTGAGATACAGCATAGTGACAGACAGGCAGAGAACGAAGTTTAAGTAACAAGGTTCCCGTTTCACCCTTTGTTAACCCTAAAAATGACAAGCATGAAAAATGTTAGCAAACAATAGCAGATTACTGCAATATTATGAATAGGTACTGCACCTGCTCTATACAGTTGACAATCACAGAATACCTGTATGTCTTTTTTAGAATATCCGCTTAAGCATTCTTGGGAATATATTGTTTCTATTAGTCAAAATTTCTATAATTTGTAATATATATTCATTCATTAAAAAATAACAAAATAACTGGGGCACGGTTTATGTTTAAACCAAAAAAGGTTACCATTTATTTTCCGATTGATTAGCCATAATAATCCGTTCCCATACACAAGGTTCTTTTTGGTTTGTTTGAAGAAAAAAGCAAGATATTTTCGGGGTGATTTTGGGAGCATCCACCAAAACGCCATTTAATTTTGAATGCTAATTACTTATCAAAAAGTTTACAAATATTCAGTGATCATTTAAAGTCCCTTGTTTACACTTATCTTAATCAGCAATTTTTTTAAAGATTAAAAGTGTTCATAGTTTATTTTATAAAATGTTGTTTATAGCTACTCGATAGATAATCGCATAGATAAATCTATAAGCACCACCTCTAACGTTTTATCTCTTGGTAGAGGTCCAAGATACAAGTCATCGCTGAGCTGTCAAGAGTTCCCTGTACCACTGAATAGGTTTAATGCCTATTTACAACGACAGATCGCAGTCTAATCATAGTTTATAATGAACAGGACCCTTTGAATAATAATGCAGATCGTTTATCGTTCTTTGTCCTTAGTTCAGGCACGCTGTAAATCTTTCTTGTTCGTTTACTATAGCTCCTTTATTTCGTTGGTGTAAGTCATATTATACGTCAATACAAATGTTAAATATCTGTGAGGAATTATTGAGCTATTTGTACACGGTTTTATTTGAGGAATAATTTTCATTCAATTTTAGTTTGGATTATTTAATAACAGATTTACATCGGTGCTCAATCGTTACGCAAGTCAGAATAAAACAGTTTAAATACAGAATTTAACTGTATATAGTTTAATAAATTTTTGATTCCTTAGAAATGTTATAAGCATATCAAGGACGTTTGATTCTGAACTTTTCAACTATTATTTCTATTAATATCTTTTGCAATTTGAAAATTTTCATTTAATTTATATGGAATGACATATTTTTGTCTTATAATAAAAGTCTTTAAAAAATCTGGTTGAGTTTTTTAACAGTTCATGTTCTTATTTTTTAAAATACATTTTGCCAAAATAAATGTTGTATTACGACCCCTAGATTATATTCACATTATAATTTATTGTTTTCCCGCGACTTTGCCCTCGTAAATTATGGCCTAAGTCACCCGTGCATGATGAAACTATCTTTCCATAGTTGAAATATTTTTTTTTTGAATCAGAGCCCTTTCAATAGAAACAAAGAATCAAATCTTTCCTTTTTATAATATTAGTATTTAGTCGTTGTCTCTTGTACTTAGTTATTAAATATTTTACTTAAATCATTGTGTTTATATAAACAGTTTTTAAACATATAATATATTATTTACAGATCTGAACAATATAACTTAATCTAAATCATCATTGATAGTAATGTTCTGTGGAACATTTTTATCACATAATGACCCATAAAACAAGTTCTAAGGGGACCATTACAAGCAATAACATTTACTTTATCTAACCATATCAGATAAATGTGTGTTTTATGCGATTAAATATTCAAATACCGTCTTAGTGAAAACTATATTCTTGTTATTGGACTAGAAAACAAACAAGTGGAGTTTTGAAGAAGATTAATGGTGTTATATTTTTCTACCCTCATTGTTCGTGAGGCTTTGTCTTAATTATTTCATTACGAACGAACTATTAAGATAAAAACTCTTGTCCCACCGATACTGTTATCTTTAAACTTTTTAGTTGAAGAAATAAATATGTCAGATTGGAGTTCAATGCCGTTATAGGGTTGCTACTTGACAGATTATACATTTTTTTAAATAATTGAGTGGAATTATTTATAACAATTGATTTGAACGAAACTTCGAATAGAATTATTATTTTTATTTGATATATCATATGATAAAAATTGCAAACCTTTAATATTCTAATTTTGCCCCAAAAATCTAAAATTATTTTCTTTTAAAATACAAAGTTAGTCAACACTTTCCATGCATAAATAATGGTATCTACTTACATTAATATGGAAAATAGATGTAAAAAACGACTTAAAAAGCCACATAAAGTGAAAAATTATTTTGAAATAGGGCGGAAGTTTTGCATAGGTTAATAATATTAGACACCTGATTATGTTTTATTTTTTTTAGAATTGCAATTACAATTATGATAACCTCCTTTTAAAATTGATAACCTCCTTTTTTGAAGTCGGCTAAAAAATAAAAACAATGAAATGTTTATTTTTACCAACCCTAGAGAGTGTGCGGGTCTACCATTGATCATAGATCACAATGATATCTAATGATACGGCGCGTGTTCGATAAAGGGTCGGCCTGCCCACCGCGGGAGATCCTTCCACACCACGCCGTATCACCACGAACTAGCATAGGGCTGACACAAAAGATGAAATGTAAAGGCTTTCTATCGTATCTCAGAATGGCTGTCGGTACAGTCGTCATTGTTCATTTCTAGTGACTTGTTTAGGTGGAGGCTCGATAAACTTGTAAGTTGCTTCGAGACATCGGTAGTTCAATATATAAAATTTTCTTTATTATAATATTATTCCTCATTAGAGAGCTAGGATGCCATAATGAATGTTAGCAACAAAATGAATTTAATTTGATATTCATAAAACTAAGTTAAAAAGATTAACAAGAAATAATAAAAATCATCAAATATGTATACTTTAAATAATGATTCTACTTCAAATTTTAATTAAATAAATAATGATATTGATAATAGAGATATTGTTTAATTTTCCAAACGTTTTGATTCCTTTACAAGTTCAATAATCACTAGATTATAATATTGGTTGATTTTTAAAAATTAAAAGCAACCCTTCAAAGAATACTTATTAGACACATTTAAGATATAAAAACGTTTGTATTTATTAAATTATCATAACAAAATATTTGAATTATTTTATTTAATTTTTCTATCATAAACTACCGTAAATTTGCATGATTTATCTGATTTTTAAACGTAAGTGTTAAAAGCTTAACAGAAAAGAGTTACCCAATAATGAACGGGCTATTAATGTTATGACAATTATAAAAATTAACACATTTGTTGACAATCGACAACCCTGAATTGTTTTTCTTTTTGTTTAGACTCAGCCTCCTGTACTTGCTTTGATATAATAAACCCGCCTAATTGAGATATAAAACTCCTGCGGTTGTTTATTATTTTTATTTAAAAATATAAACAAAAAAGTCTTAATAAGATTTTTTCTGTAATATACCCAATTTACGACCATTTCAAATTTCTTTCAGACAAACTCGTAGAGATCAAACGGATAGGTGTAAAAAAAGTATATAAAACAATTAACAATAACAATATAAAACAATTAACAATTAATGCCAATGACATCATATTTTATTTATCACAGCTTCTAAAGGTATAAGAAAATATTTTTAGAAATTCTCACAATTAACGATACTCCTCGCGACTGAGTATAATATAATATGAAATGGTAAATGTAAGCAAAATGATGAATGAATGGGCATTTTCTTATAACCATCTATCATTTGAATAGTCCACGATTCTGCCATCAGATACCATGGTGCGAAATATTTATTAATGTCTCCGGTGGATTCATATCAAGGGCTGCATCGTTAGATATTTATTGTATTTAAATATGGCAGTGTGCTTATTTATGTACAACTTACATTTATTATCAAAACAAGGCTGAGTAAAAAAAATATATCTGTATCAATGAAAAAAATATTACGAATGTCATTAGATGAAATAAATATTGTTAATACCTTAATTTTAGACATCTGGCTCTTGGTAGGCTGCGTGGCCACGAGATTAAGTTGTTAAAATAAGTGTGCACTGGGGATAATGTCACATTGACTTGTTTTTTTCTCAATATTGTTTCTGTTTTTTTTTTAACAGTCGCTTTATGGTCACGTTTGCATCTTAACCACATGCAAACTTTTAAAATATATTCCTAAAGCATATGCTCCACGCAGAATACGGGGAAATATAAAAGTTTGTATCGCATTAGTTCTAATTTTTGGATAATAAAATTATTACATTTATTGATGCTTTTGATAAGGTATTGATTTAGATAAAGTATTTGATACCTGTTTAAAAAAAAACATAAACTGACAAAGTTGCCATTTTGAGGATGTGGGGCGGGAATTAATTTTATTTGTAGTTTTTATCTTTATACATCATTTTATTAACATTTCATAACTTTATGTAGTGTTTTGTTTAATATACTGTGTATAACATTAATGTATATGTAATCGTCATAATTTGACGTCAATTTTTAATATTAAAGTGACGCAAGTGCATCTCTGGACGTCCGTTTTAACGGCACAGTTAGGCAAAGTTCCGCTATAAAATATTTATAACAACAAACACAAAATTCTGTTCCATAGATCAAGGCCGATAATAAAATGTCCTATAATATGTATATAGAAAAAATCTAATCTAATAAATTTGACTTGAAGTGGTGCCAGCATTATTTAATATACTAAACTTAGTTCTTTTCTTTACGTTTTTTATTTGAAAATTCTAAAAAGGTTGTTAATTTTATGCAGTTTTCAGTAATGGTCAAAGACAAAATAATCTTTTTTGAAAAAGACTTCTTAAAAGTACTTTTGGATTGTTCAACTTTTTTCCCTTCCCTACGTTTAGGACGTCTTCCAGCTGATAAAAAGAATGAACAAGAAACAAGAATAGATGGAATAACTGACATGGTTGACATGTGCAACTTAACTGAAATACTTATGACGATAATGAGGTAAGTAGTTAGGTACATGTAAGAATTATTCTCCAATCCGCATTGGGCCAGCGTGGAGGGTCATGGCCCATCCTCCTTAACCATCCATAAGGAAGGCCTGAGCCCCTGCAGTGGGGACGTAAAAGGGCTGATGATGATGATGAAGAATTATTTCTGGAGTATGTAATGAATCTTTAAGCAAAATGAAGAGAATGTTTCAATATCTTAATATATAACAACCATCGGATTTTAAAAGGTATGCTAGATGGATACTTCTGACAGCTTATAGATAACAGTGACTTAGGCTCAATATCGAATTCAGGATAAGCTGCCATACGTTTCTGCGTTTACAGAACCGCGTTTTCGAACATCAAAAAGCTGAATCCGCGGTGAGATTCAAATTTCATTTCATTAAACTCTAAAACGCCGCTAACACCTCACTGTCGGACGCAGAATGAACTGAACTAAGTGAGATTTTGACATTATTCAATGAAAATTCGATAGTCATCAATTCACTTGTCAAATAAACAGTTGCAAACTAGTGATCGAATTAACAGTAAAGTGTTCTAAAACTGTTTCGTTAATTTCTTTTTGTTAGTAGTTTTAAAAGAAGAACGTTTTAAATGTAAGCACCAGTCGACGTCGAGGTGATAATTTTTGATGCTTAAACATGTTTTGGTGAATTACTTATAAGGTTAGTTAATTATTTGATATTTCCTTTGTAAAGCATGAAAGATTCGGTATACTTACTATTTTTGTCGGCGCTATGGACGTTAAGCAATTTTCATAAGATCATAGTATGGGTGACCAAAAATTTACTATTACCTCAAGGTCCTCCGTGTATTTTAAGGCACGTTAAGTTATTACTTTTAAATTTCAAGAGTGACTCATCACTGTTGACAACAGACTCCAACTACGCGTTTATTCATTCTGATAAATCAAGAAAACTGGAAACTTAACTAGAAGCATAAGCATTTTTTAGGAATAAAATGAAATCGCACTCCTAATTTGACTATTCGACAACATCGACCAAACAACAACAAACCGAATGCCAACCCAGCCACAATTTTCTTAATTTCATCTATAAATGGCATTGGCGTTATGATTATTGGGCCACAAACCACCTCGACAGTTCTTTTCTTTAATGTTTTTCAACATTTTATAATGAATAATGTAGATTATATCTCAATGAAATGAGATATATTTGTGTAGCCGTTTTTTGTTTAAAAATACAAAACAATATTAATTAAATCATAGATACCTCAGATATTCCATCTTTAGATCATTTGGAACCTTACTTCACTTGTGCCATGAAACGTTTAGAGTATACAATTCAAGATTAAGCGAATTCGCTTTCGAATTATGTTCAGACACCTGAGTGAATTCTAATTTGGATTTTTACTGAATCGCTCTACTGCCCTGCGATTTGAATTTACTTATGTATTCGAGTTCACATTATTTGGTGTAGACATTCTATAGATTCCATGTTTGGAGAAAAAAATATAAAACAAAATTGATTGAATATACGTGTCTCAGATATTGTATTCCTATGTCATTTCGAAACTCACTTCACTTATGCCACGAAACGTTATTACCAATTCAAGGTAGAGCGTATGTCGCTTTTTGAAGTGGAACCAGACACCTGAATGAATTCTAATTAGGGTTTGGATTTTTACAGGATCGCGGAGCTGCTCCTATAAAATAGTGAAAATAGGGGCAGAATTTTGAGAAAATGATTAAAATTCTACCCCCATTTTCGCTTTTACCAACATTGGGCTTAGATAGTATAACTCTATATAACACCTTTAACATTTCTTTTTTACTATCTGTAAAAAAAAATCGAGCACATTTTCACAAAAATAAATATAAATTCCACGCAAATGAAATTACGACTTAAAACTAGTACTGTATAAGCGCTTGCTTTAGATAAAGAATTTGTTCTTCTTTTCTGTATTATGATCCGTTACAGTGAATGTGTATATTGTAAATCTATTTCGCCACAAGTCAAAGGCTAAATGTATAGAAATGACCTTTATCGACCTTTGAACGTAACATATCAAATTAAGGGAATATTGAATGCTACGAAAGAATATTTTTCTCGTTTTTGTGATGGTTCCATATATTTTTTTTTTGTTCAGTGATACATTAAAGCATATTTTTGAAATGAGATTTAATAAATTATATTTCGAAATTCATAATGTTCTCATTATTTTTAAAAGTTAAAATTTTGATTATTTGACTTTCAATTTAGAGGAAAATTTGTTCTGATTATTATATTTTATCAATTTTGCATTCAGAATGCTGTACTTAAAATATTCTTAATGAAAATGCTGTAAAAATACGCTCTGCAATAACGAAAACGTAACAAGTGCTTAAAAAATTCATCATGCCAGGTCGTGGGTAGCTCGGTGGATAGAGTAGTCGCTTGGATTGCGAAAAGTCACGGGTTCGAGTCCCATCTCAGAGTACCAGGGACAAAGTGGATTTATAAGCATTTTTTATTAAAAATATAGTTAAAGTATTTTTATGATACAAAATATTCAATTATTAATTTTTAGATTTGAAACTGTACACTGTACAATCATAAACAATATCAATCCAAAAATACTTATTTTATGTGGGAGTTAAAAATGAAAAGTAGCTTCATCGTGTAGAATTTTTAATGTGACGATATTATACATTCATATCATGAAATAAAATAAAGATGCAAAGAGTCATTTCTGTATTTCTTGTTGCTTATTCTCAAATCAGTATTTGTCCAATCAGTAGTTTGGTGTAGTGTAGCAAAATAGAATAAAGAAAAGGTTATAATAAATCAGTAATCGAACTAGGTTGAACCCTAAATAATCGTACAAACATTTGAGTTAGTTACAAGCGATTTTTCGACAGCAGATTTGATTGACGCCTAATAATTTGGAGCCCTTTCGCTAATAGTCGATTGTTATCGTTTTGTTTACACGACGTCGCATTCTGGGCCTGTGTGAACGCACATTATGCTCAGTCAGCGTGTATCGCGTAGAAACGAAAGCAGAATATCGTGTTAACAGCATGACGGGTAATATCGTATGATATTTAAACTTTGTTTTGATTTGATGGCCTGGCAGACATTCAAACTCATTTGTTTTTTAGATGCGATGATATGAAACCTTTGATAAGAATGATCAGCAGTGCCATTCCATTATAAACACTCAACTTCTGTCACAACGTTGTCATAGCTATTGACTAAGGAAAATTTATTGAAGAAGCATAATTTAAAAAAAAAGCATGGGTTGTGCCAAATAAATTGTATCTTGTTAACCCTTATTGATTTGAACCAAAAAACTTTTAATGCGTATTTCTTGTGGACACGTTTCATAGTCAGTGCACTTAGATAAATGGAACCCTAAAGAGTATCAATATCAAATGTAATTACTCGTGGGCGAGTAATGAGGCGTGGTGATAGTCTGTTTCTTAATTTTAATTAGGAGACAAAGCACAGTGTTACTAATACCGACTCGGTTTATTCAAAAGCGGACAATGGTATGATGCATGGCGCCCCGCTGCGGCGAATAGACGAACTAAGTTTACTGAAAACAATACTTTTCTTTTGTTGTATGTTATATCATCGAGAATTGAGACTGATATTGTTTTGGATATTACTTTCCCTTAACTTAATTAATAAATTGAAATAATAGCTTAGCGTTGATATATTTCAATGTGTAAAATTTTCAATTTTAATTGAATTAAGTCTTCAAGTTTTAGTAAAATAACAGTGCTCAGTTAGCCACTTTCATAATTAAACTAAAAAACTTATCTTTATAAGTTTTACTCTAAATTTAATAATAAAATATACCTTATAATAGTCCATAGATATGCCTACCTAAGATGAAAAAGATTTTCATTATTAATAGTAGAGTACGTACTCGTAATATTGTTAGAGGATTTTAAAGTATTTTTCATTAAGAATATTTTTCCAGTATAGCATTGTGAATTTAATTATTGATAAAATATAATAATTAAAACAAATTTTCGTCTTAATCGATACATTAAAAGATTGCCTTTTTCATTATTACCTATGTAAGTAATCGTATATTTTCATAGCACTATTTTGCCAAATACAATATTTACATATTAATTATAGATGATATTCAACACATAAATAAACAAAATTAGAATGGATTTATAGTTATAAATGGTCCTTATAAACTATTAAAGAGCGTCATCGGTGGCCGGATAAAATGACAATAATTTAGGTGTATTTAATTAATAATCCGCGTTTAATTGACTAATTCCTAAAATTATATAATATACAAATAACTTTTAAATCGGGTGGTAATACATAAATTTGAAATTTATACCTTTGTTCAGAATATAAATTAGGTAGGTCGGTATTCAGGTGCTCTAAACGGGGAATCGTATGTATTTTAATAAAAAGTTAGCTGTAAAAAGTCATTACGTAATAATATTTTATTTTTCATACAAAATAAACGCGACGGAGATCACTGACTCGTATAATATTCTATAAAATTTGGTTTGTATAGCAAGAGCTTACACATTGTCATATATTACAAACTACCCTAAACGTAAAGAAATTTTGGAGTTTTCTTCGCGACAGTAATAACAACTTCGAAAAAGATTCCAAAAGTCTATAGTTTGATTTCATACTATCTCAACCATATATTTCAATACTTATGGAATCATTATTATTTGGTTTTGTCTATCAAATAAAAGTTACTCTGGTTTTCTACTGATCTAAATCTTATATATTGTCTTTAGTCCTGTAACTATAGCTTAGCCGGTGGAGTCAAAATTAATTACCGGAACGCGTTGTCAAGTTCAATGGTCAGATGGAAGCCAAGGTTTCCCAAGGTAACCAGTCGGTACAGTGAGACGTCAGTGACCACAGAGTTGTAATAGCGTCTGAGGTCGCGATGCACAATGCCACGTGACCTGGATCCACAAGAGGCAATCAGCCACTGCCCCGCTACCACGACGGCCCATGGACTAAATTTGTGGAAAGTTTCTGTTATTGTTACTTCGATGTAACTATCTCGCAACAGTGGTCCGATTCTTCTTAATCAAAAAGGAATAAAAAGTGGTTCATGCACGACATTTATTGACAATTCTGACGCAAATGAATAAAGGTTTCCAGAGTAGTTTTTGAGTTTATACTCGTACCTTGTGAAAAATAAAAAAAATAAACTTTATAATTAGTATAGACTGCCCATCACAATAGTTATGTTTCTTCGAAAACGAAATTTTGTCTATTTTCGAACAGTTAAGATGCCCCCAACGAAATTAATTTTTCTTTAATTTGTGTTGCAACGAAATTTGGACCTTACACTGCTTCTGCGTTGATTGCATTTTCAATGACAAATAGTAGGCCCTCGGGTATTACTAAAGGAAAGACTATATAACTAAAGTAAAAGATAAATCACGCAAGAAAATAATATAATACTCAAAACACACCACCACTACAATAGAGAGACAGCATATAGAGAATAGAAATTTTCTTTCCGAAGAAGCTGACAAAGCTATCGCCAACAATAGAAAATAAACCATCCCGTTGAATCTACGTAACTAAAGAAAAGACTTTATTTGATATTTTTTTCATGAATGATCTTTGTTTTTTTTTTTTTGAAACGAATGTCTTTTTTCCTCTGTCCTATGTCTGTCCCGTTATGTACGTTAAGTTTTCTTAAGAAAACCCCCTATTTAACTGTAAAAGCTGATTTGTTACGATTTAGAGGGGCTTAAAATTATAAACAGGATAAGGCTTCTAATAGATGTCAAGAGTAGTGATAAAGTCATAGTAAAAAGGCAGGTTAATATGTAAGGTGATTCAACAGTTCTTTTTATAAGCTAATTCTTCTAAAACATGTTACAATTGATATCTATCCTTTTCTATCTTTTCAGAATGCGTCGGAGTAGAAAAAGAAGGAAGCTTGTGCGAAACACCGACCGAATTAGGCGTACCAGGAACATAGCACAAATCCGGCCATCGGATCCTGACTGCCCGGGGCTCGCGCGCCGTTACCACGAGTGCAACACAGCTGTTAGTATACACATATTATCTTCAATTTTCACACGATCATCGTGTTAGAATCTAGTTCTTATTCTATAAATTATATTTTATTTACCCTTTATATTCATCAGCTACGATAGTGATAAAGCCCCATGGAGTCTGACGTATATTATACTGTTTTTTATCTTTCCCTAGAGTTCATCAGTAAAGGAATTTCTACTGAGCTATCGAGGCACAGCCGTTCTGTATCGCAGTTGCGGAAAATAAATATTAAAAGAGTTTTATACGTTCAAAACTTCACCTTCACCATTTTAACCATGACAGCAAACAAGCATAGTATAAAACGAACTCGCTTCCCACTGTCTGTACACCGAGATATAGAAATAAAAAATAGTAGAGCAGTACAATAGATTTTATCAAAATCCTTTTCCACTTTGAGCTAGCCTCAAAGAAAAGTTACATAGATATGCATGTTACATAACCAAAGAGGCTATAACCTACTAATACTCATTTTCAATTTAAAAAAATAGTGTTTTTTTTTTTAACTTTTAGCCATGCCCGGGTCCACCGAGGGACCCTCGGGCTGATCAGTGTGCTGTGTATGATCGAAGGCCTTTCCGTGGAAGGTTTTATACATGGGTGCCATATGTTGACGGTAAGGTGGTTATTTTTTTTACTTGTCCACCGACGTTTTTAAATTCTTTGTCTTAGAAAAATAACAGAAGTAAAGAATTTTTTTTGAAAATGATTATCTACAAGAGTACATATACATTTATTTTATTACATGTGGGTGTGACTGAACTTGAAATAAGATACTTATAGTTAAATTTGAAGAATGGTACTTTTGTGTACAGCATAATTTATTATATGTATTTTTTGGAATGTATTTCAGCTTAAGAAACGATTCTCTGCTTTCAAAACTAAGTGTTTAAACAAATTTCTAAACTTTTATAACTTGACTCTATCATTGTACTGTCATAATAAAATATGGCAGCGCCACTGGCGGGCAATAGCAGAACTAAAATTGTTAAAATCCCAATGTCTGTATTATTCCTAGTTAGATCTAAAACTTATCTTTCAGTATTTTTTACCTCTCGATCTATATGGATTTTTAAAGCTTCACAAATAAGATAGAATAAAAAACATATTAAATTATACCTACGCATTTTTAAGCTACACAGATGCAAAAAGAATATATATTCATAATTCATTATACTAGTGTAAAAGTTTCAAACACATGGTGTATTTATTTCATGATAGCTTGTTTAAGCATTATAGAATCTTCACTCTGTAGAAAATTTAATTGTACCTATCTAATCTAATATTCTCTCGTCTGCGTAATTTTCGTTAAAAAAGAGTTATGATTGTTGTTGTTGTTATAAGGCAAATTGAATAATAGCTTAATGTTGATTAGGTGAAGCACCATGCACCCTCAACTGCCGACCGCGCGGACAGCAGTTCTATGCTTCGTTAGCACTAGTAGCAGATGGAACGCCTTGCACTAAACCGGGATTCAGAGCCATCTGCGTACAAGGCACTTGCAAGGTTAGTAAAATTAAAGCTAATTATATTCAGTAGGTACGAATAATAGAATTGTCATTCGTTATTCACAGTAAGATTTATTACTAAACGACTTGACAAAAATGAAATATATTTACTTAGGTGTCTATTTTGCACCACTAAAACTTTACATAGATATATTTTTATTATATTAATTGTTATTAAAAGTATAGAACCTTTAAACTAAGAAAAAAAAACTAGTCTTTCTATTATGGTGCATAAAGTTGTTACTTTTTGTGGGGAGCAGCGCCATCTAGTGACGAGAGAACACATTGTTGAGCATGCTTTTCCCATGTAATGAGTAGCTTTTCAAGCTTTCACGATCACTACGAGCTTAAATTTGAATAATTTAAAATTTCTTAACACATTTTTTCATTAATAATTATAAAAAAATTACAATGTTGGCATTGTAAAGGTTGGCCTTTACAATATTTTTATAAGCTACAGGTAATACATCTAATAAAACATTGAAAATAATATATTAATAGATACAATATTAATTTGAACATTGATTGGTTTTAATTTGATTATTTAATATTGAAAAATATATAAATAAGCAACTTAACTCTGACTTACGCCATGAAAGTAGACTCAAACTTTCTTTAAATATAAACATCAACATGTCAGTAATATTCACGGTAATCTGTGCAAATTGCCAAGAGACATTTCTAGGGTTATTATAGAATGCCATTAAAAAAGCTAGACACGTAGAGGTAATTGGAGTAACAGAGTTATTTAGATACTACTTTCCTTCCGTAATTTCAATGAAACTTATCTCGGACTAAATTACTTGTTTATAAATGATAGTGTGCTATTGATCACCGATCACTTCTAATCAATTTTTAGTAACATAATCATCCTATGACAGTTGATAAATTGACGAGTAATATCTGATATTCTATATAAATCAAAGGTATTATTTTGAAACTCATACCTAATGATACGACAATAGCTTCCTTGGTCTGTGATGAAACACTGTGACTGTCTTATTATAAAACAAGGAATTTTAGTACAATTTAAACCATTACCCGAACAAAATAAGTCTCAATTTGTCGTTTTCTCTTTTTTCGTTATCGATTTGCTTTAGGCTGCCAATGGTAGCAATTCTATTGCGCAGACTAGACTAAATTTAAACTTAGTCATACCAAACTGCGTATTCAATTGTGAAAATAACTAAGATAATGGAATCTAATTTAATTTATTGTAACATATAATATTATAACTATATATCTTTGATGACATGGGACGACTCACAGAATAATATTATAGCAAACCCAAATCTCTAACTAAATTAAAGATTCCTAACTTAAGAAATTTATAATTTAGTTAAATTTAGAGATTTGACTCAGTGGTAGAAACCAAGTACTTAATTTAAATTTATAATAAGACGATAGGAGATAGGGAATAAATGGCCAAACGCTAACAAAAACAATAATTATGCCTATTCATTATGATAACAAAGAATATATTATTTTCAATAAAATAGATAGGTAATAAGTATATTAGATCAATTGCGTATTGCACATTTTCGCACAATGGGTGTATTCAATTTATTGCCCTATAAATTTCTGGGAAAAATTATGTCTGAAAACTTAGGAAATAACAAAAAAGAACATACATGGATTTACACGTGCTTCTTGGTGTACGTTGCGAAGAATAATTAATTTCCAACGGCTAACGGTGCGTTGAATTTCAAGTCCACTTGCCATATGCAGCAGAGAGCACTCGCCATGCTAGTAAAATAATTGCTATCACACAGTACCTAATTGGGTGCGGCGCCTGGAAGATAATAATCATTCATTACCCATGTAGGTATGTAGGCATGCTTATTATATTTGATAAATTTTACAAAATAAAAAAAAAGTAATTTGTTAACTGTAATTATAATTATTATCTATTTATTACAATCAAATTAATAAAATGTTACACCTGGAAATCAACCCTTAAACATCGTATCACCAGTCCGAGTTCTTACCGCTGCGCCAACCGCTGCGTAGCAAACAGGATAATATTCATGACCGCGTCAGAAAAAAATATTTCGATAACGTTTGGTCGCCTTAGTTCTCATGAGTACTTTCATTCCTCGCCAAACTCTGCTTGTCCTTTAAATTTCAAAGAAATCCACTTGTAAAACCATATTGATAAATAAATCCTTGATAATCCATAATAATAAAAAAAATCATGATTTTTTTTTATTATGATTAATCTGTGGTGTGTATTGTTGTTCTATGTTTAAACATTACCAACCCCGCCGATGACTTAACGACGACCTAACAAGAGTGGCTAATATTTCAAGAGCTTGTTTTGTTAGTCAACCTATTTTCAATCACTACTAATGAGCATATTTCCGATAAACCTTCAGGTGATTCAACTAAACAGCCAAAATAAATATTTGAACATTCAATTAAGATGAAAATGTGTTCTTATTATTATATATGATCAATATAATACCTATAGATATGCTTTCTAAAATTAACGATCATATCGTTTATCGTCACTTCCCCAGTAGCGATTTGGTTTACCCGATGGTCCAATGCGGATTGTATTAACAACTGCAGATGCAGCTTAACGTACCTTCCGAAATACGGAGGAGCTTCAGATTAAAAATTGTTCACCCATCCTTTAACCGGCCATATCTAAAGTTGCTTGATCTAGCGTGCTAACCACTGTGCCATCGAACTCCTCCTTTTTGAAATAAGAATAATTAATTCTAGATTTAACAGGGAAGTGCTCACTATAACCGTTCTTGCGCAGATAATTATCACGACTGCCAACGGAAACTGCTAAACCGATCTAACTATGGGTCAAATCTAAATTGCTATTGCAATAAACGGTATAATATAGCACATCAGCGCGTTAGTGTGGGCTGTCAGTCCTTACCCGCTCGCCTCCAGCGGCGATGCATCGAAGCGTTCCTGCCTCACACGATCTAGATCAGTGGTCGTCAAAGCGATGAGTACAAACCACATGGGGGCGTTTCAAAATAGAAAAATATAACCCTATATATTCCTGTAGTTTTAAATAGTCAAAAACTTGTTGGGTTTATTAACTTTATTTTGATTTTCTATTTTTCATCAGCTTTAAGTTTCCCGAAAATCGTAAAAAATACGGACAAAATTAACCTACCTATTTAATTATAGAGTAGTGGACAAAGCAGTATAATTATCGTGTTTGTCAAATCAAATTAAAAATATATATTTTTTGGACTTCCTATGCATGAAATTTTTGGTACATAATAAAAATAAAATAAAGTTTCGATTGAGACAATAAGCAGAACTAATTTAAAATAAGTAATATAATGAAACGTTCATTAGCTTTGAACCTTGGAATTCACTTTTAATAAAACTATTTAACATTAACGCTCATACAATATAAAAAAAAATATTGAAAATGCCCAGAACCATTGAAATTGGAAGTTCATGTTTTTTTACCCACCTAGACGAAATTCGTCGTAATGTTATCAAAAAATAAAATCTAATAAAATAACTATATTTATTTTAAATTAAAATTTTATTTGTTGATTAAACTATTACCTTTTATAGTGTATTCATTTATTATTATCTACCAACGTCTAGCGGTTTATTTTTAAAGAACTATCGAAACAGGAAGAAAATAAGGAACCCCGTTTTTTATTTTAATTATTACAAATATTAATTATGTTTCATCATTTATAAACCTTAATTTAGAATAATCGTTAATTCCAAAGACATTTTATATTAACTACAAAAGTTTAGTATATGGTATCAAAAGTTTTGGTGCCACTGGACTAGAAAATGCAGGGCTTGTAGAAGACTATTATTTAAAATCGTTCCATCGTATCTTATAACTTATGTATACCTACTACGTACATACTCTAGATCAGAAGTTAGACTTTATTTATTGTACCTTGTACAACAATACGTTATTAAAAAAAAAATTTCTAATGAGATCGTATTTTCAAAGAAAATTCAATTATGTAATCTTTTTATTAAACAGATTGATAAAATCCCGACAGATATCTGCTATCTCGTTCGCATTATTATGGGTAAAGACTGGACCAAAAAAAGCTCACAATAGGGTTTGTTGGATTTTAAGGTTCGTTTATATTTCCAGTCATTGACTCTCGTGCGCGTCAATGTCTGTAGATATAAATGAGCTATAATGACTCACTATGGGACAGAAGAGATGACGCGATCGAAGCCTGGGGCTCTATTTTTGAATCATTCGTCTCGCGTCGAGCGCTCGTTTTCTACTATCACTCGCATACAACGTTCGCTAAGCGACGAGTGGTTCATACCATTCGTTGCAGTCGAGCGATTTAGAAATGGCGAATTTGTTAAGTCGAACGAAAATCAGTAGAAAACGAGCGCTCGACGCGAGACGAATGATTCAAAAATAGAGCCCCTGTTCGATGGCGTTCGTTCGCCATTCATTAGTCTACTCTGTACACGACTTTATAGTCAGTCTGTAATACTACTGTTTTTCTCTCATTTTTTATTATTATTTCTTTTCAAGCTCGTTAATAGGGTGTATTTACATAAGTAGTAAATTTGTTTTTCAATTTTCTCAAAAAAAAAAATCATAAGCCTTTAACAAACTTTAACGAGCTTTCCGTCACCGGCTTCGCCCGCTGGGTTGTCTATTATACATATAAACTGTATATTGCATCATTTGTGTCGAATCGGTCTGAATTATGATAAAAATAGAATATTCATTGTGCAGTTTAAATGATCTCAGCCTGCAGACGGCGAAAAGCAACTTTGTTTTATGCTATGTACCTATAGATGTACACAGCTGCACATCGAGCTACGAATACTACAACATGTCAAATTTTAGCAAACAATTTCATACTCTCTTCTCAATATATTGAAGTTTCAAATCAAGTTGAAATTGGACAGTTTTGTATAGCTTGACGTGCTGTTGACTACTTCTACGAAAGTCTACTATCTGGGCGACCGCGAAACTCTCTAGCCATGATTCTAGTCATAACACCTTATCGATTTTATGGCGATAATTTACTTCATCTCACTTCTTAGCAA